CAATTCTAACATGGATTTACAATTTATTTTAGACGAGTACAGTTGTGCGGCTTATGTGGTGGAGTACGTTAATAAATCGAATCGGAGCATTAGTAACCTCCATCGTCAGTTGATACAGATAAAGGACGAGTCTTTCGACAATGATTACAATAGTCTACTCAAACAATTAGGTCTCAAACTTTTAAATATGGTCGAAATCTACCGTCATCTACCTCCCAACTGTTTGGCCACCTGAGCGGCAAAAATCCCGCAAGCAGAAAGCAATAATGGATAAAGAAAATATTGCACCAGACAGCACGGACATGTGGACTAAAAATATTATCCAACGTTATGAAAGTAGACCATCTGAACTTAATCATCTCTATCTCGCCAATTTTGCAGCTAATTAGACATCACGCAGGACTGTCATAACTGATACTACAGACGATAATCACGATGAAGAAGCCGTTCCGCGAATGAAGAAACGTCGGTTGGAACGTGATGATCTCGTTCAAGAGCAATACAATGACACATCGGACGAAGAAAACAACTCGTATGCCAATGATGCCTCAACACACCATCAGACTAATGCATATCACAAGCGGCGTATATCGCGAGTAATACGATACCGCCACTACAATATGGACGACATGGTGAACTACAAACAAGAGATGGTATTGTTGTATCTACTATTCCAAAATGAGCTTATAGACGTGATAGATCGTAACAAGTTTATACAGTTGTACAATACGAATGAAGAATTGATCTTAAAACGACGCCAAAAATATGAAGCCAACATTGACCTCGATCAAATAATAGCTGCGCTGAAGGAATTGGATTCGTCAGAAGATGAGCCAGCACTGGGCGTAGATAGCCACGAACGATTTGTAACGAGTGTGCTTGGGAACCAACCCGAGAACGTAGACGATATTAATGCGAACTTTCCGAACGAATCGTATGCTATCGTTCGACGTCGTTCCAACGTTATGACGAAACAAGAGTATTGTGAAATGCTCAGATCAACAAATCCTGAATAACGCGAACTTCTATTCGAGGTAATACATCGATTACATACTCCAGATGCTGAGCCCTTACAAATTTTCTTGACTGGATCTGCTGGTTGTGGTAAGACGTACGTCTTGAAAGCTATCATGGAAACGGTGAATCGGTATACTCAACAACAAAATTCATTAAGGAATGCATATGTTGCGTGCGCCTCAACAGGTAAGGCGGCTGTCAATCTATCTGGTACTACTGTCCACTCAGCTTTCGTCTTGAATCACTCCAAACCAAACAGCGAGCACAGACTTTCTTCTGAGCAGTTACATAGTTATCGGAATCTCTTCCTGGGGGTAAAATATATCATAATCGATGAGATCAGCATGATTGGTGCTGACATACTTCAAAAAATAAAATTGGAAATGGTGATTGCTTATCTGAATCAGAAAAGAATTTAATACAGAGTCGTTATCATCATGTCGAATGGTGTAACGGAAAGGTACCTAATGCTATACGGCTGTATCAATGCAACATCGATGTTGATTATCACAACGTGAAAAAAATCCTATTCTAAAATTGACATGGACATCAATCTCGAAATCTCGAAACAGTGTCAGCACGATTCCTTATTGGTTGCTTTCCATTCGATCCATTCCACATCTCGAAATGGCATCACCGACTTTCCGGGGGTTTAAATGCGGCCTCGGCACCAATCATTGACTCGATATATAGGTCAGCGACGATACCGCCCAATGAGGCGCTCTGAATGTGCCCAGCGACAAAATTATAATCCTAACCTTACCTCTCGAACCATCTCCGCCGGTTCATCATCATCATTATTCATAGAGGATCATCATTATTCAGAGGAATATCCAAGATTAACAATGGAGACAGATCTCCATCCATTCACTTCAACAGAGGAAATTGATAATTTCGAAGTTGGAGACAGCAATGTAAGTATTTTTTAATATTTTAGTGTATCTTCAATGAAAATATTTGTAAATGAAAAACTCAACCTCTAACATGTGATACTTCCTTGAATACCTTTAAATCAGCGCTTACAATAAATGAAATATCGATATTAAAATAAAGTAATTAATGAGAAGAAACACGTGTTTTAATTTGTTTGAATATACAGCAACATAACCTTCATAGTTTACAATCGAAGATAACTGATCTATTTTAGCGAAAATAATAATTGGGCTTATTGCAGATGAATGGAATTATGTTAATGTGAAATGCCAAATTTATTTTTCAACAATATTTGTCAATCAATTGATAAAAAAATTGAATTTAATAGAAATTTTTTTCATCTATTTTCAGTGTTGTCTGTGGCTACGTTGATTCAATTGAAGGAGTTAAAGTTGTCAGTAATGGCAAGAAAAATTATTCAAATTTATTTTGAACAACGGTGACGATAAAAGGATACGTCTCCTCGCTTGGGACAACGTTGCTACTAAATATGCCCCTCTGATCTCCATGTATCAGGTATTTAATCATTTTTAAGCTCCCAAAATTTTTTCTCATCGATTATAAAATTTTCTCAGTCCTCGAAGAGAATAATTTCAACATTTTCATTGTTTTCTTTTTAGTGATCGCTTTGAATGATAATGAATAATAATACCGATCAACTCACAAACTAATTAATAATTGAATTTCTTCTTCCAGAAATACAAAATCACCATGGGCGTCTTGAGCGAAACCAACCACAGCTTAAACAATAAAGACGAGATAATAGCAGACGTTGAGTTTAATATCCAAGCTTCGAGTGATGTCAAACTACTGGGTGTCCTAGAAAGTGCTGGAGTCATTGTAACTGAGAATATCTCGATAAAAAGGTCACTCTGGAAAATTGCTTCATCAAAAGTTCATTCAGAACTGTTTCGTTTGGTTCAACATCGTACGGGGGAGGATTAATGGCCAGTGGCATATATCGCTTCCCAGTGCACATCGCAAATTTTAAAGGGAATGATGAGAAATTGAGGGATGAGGGTCGCTGCCTCAGACTCAAGGGACAGTTGAGAGCAAATCGTTCAATGGAAGGCTACTATTTCAGCGTTCCTGATATGCTTCACATTGAGTACGTTGATGATGAGAAAGCAACTCCAGCAGAACTAGCCAAGGCAATTGTGTCAGCCACATCTAAAAGATTAGCTGCTGAGGTAAAAGTCCCTGACGCGAAACGACCAGCCCTTGAAGATATTAGAATGAAGAATACGAACTGTGTCCAGGAGACGAGTAAGAAAGATTTTGTTGTGCATGTTACAGTCGAAAATAATGTCAAAGACAATCAAAGTTGTGAGATTGAAATTACTGGTGGGAAAGACATTCGTAAAGATAAAGAAAATGATGAATCTCTCCTTGAAGACTTCTTTGCAATGGAGACATAGAAAAAAGTCTTCATGAAGTTTGAAATTCGATCCAAACGTTTTTTTTTTTGACAGAAAGTAAAGAAGTTTTATAATTAACAAGTAGTTTGAATTTATAATATTATTTTGTTTCACACGTAAAATAAAATGAAGGAGTAATAGAAGTTGAAAACACCTGAATTCTGATAAAAAATAATAATTTACTGACTAGAAGAAAAAACGGTTTGAGATCAAATTTCTTTTTCAAAAAACCATGTGTCAGATCATCTGAGAATTTTTCAAACATTGATAACTTTTTTTCAAAAAAATCTTCAAAGATGTGATTCTTTTTCCAATCCTTCATGTCAGTAAGATGTTCATGTTGAGAAAGAAGATTTTTTTTCTTTTTATTGATCAAATAATTATTATCTAATTTCAAAACTTTCAAAAATCTAAAACTCAATTAAGGTAAAGAATTCTGCATGCTTGATAATGCAGAGAAACATTATTAATAGAAATTAAATCATGTAGAAGTATACAACCTGAAACTCATCAATTCCATTGCATAATTTTAATGAACAAAAAGATAATTTCTTGATCACATATCTAAATTACTACCATTAACAAAAACTCTCAACATTCGTTTGTCATCAATAATTTTTTGATGCTTCATGTTCTTAAAAATTCAAAAATCATTTTTTTTTTGTTCACCAAAGAGTTTTTTTTTTATTTTTATGAAAAATAAGGATAGTATAATTTTAAATTTTCTACGTAAAAAATAATACGATAGAGAATTCCCTAACAAATTGAATTGTCTTAGATCATTTGAAATTTGTATTCTTTCCAGAAACAAAATGGTAAAGTTTCAATGACAAATTGCCATGATTTTGTGATGAAGAAAAATCAGTCTCTATTACAACAGAATAGAGTTGTTCCTGAATTTTTCTTTTTATCACACAAAATATTTGCACAGCAATTTATTGCAATAAGTACTTCCAAGTTTTTTTTCCTTAATATTTTTGTTAAACAAAAATGAAACTCCTCAATGCATTCAAGAGAGTTATCGTTTTTTTTGGGTAGCATATATTACATCTTCTTGGCAATTTATTATGAATAAGTGAACGTTTTTTAGTTATTTTTTTCTATTTTTGTTGAATAATTCTTAAAGAAAAATGACGAGTATTATAATAATCTTTAAGATAATATGAAAAGAAACCTGAGACAGCAGTCCTCCGAATAAATCATAAGCTTTATTCGCATTAATTTCTTTTTATTCTCATTGGAAATGGATAAATGATGATTAAGATGTAATTTCCTAATGGATGATGATACTTATTGAATTTAATAAAAGGTGTGAAATGTCTATTGTCTTACTTTATTATTTTAGCTGTATATATGATTATGATATAATGATTAATGTGTAATCATTTCATTTATGATATTGTGGAAGTTTATTAACTGATGAAAATGAAAACAAACAATAATTTCCGTTATTATGTCGTTTATTTTTTTTCCAACAAAAAATTTTCATTTTTTACGAGTTTTTTCTGAGCAAACTTCATGTAAACTAAAGGTTCATTTCCAAAAAAAAATCGCTCCCATTTATTGAATCCGACTTCAGACGTCTTTGACTGATATCCCTAACCTCAAATGTGCCAATGATCATATTGGATCATATACTCTGCGTCTGTTGAACTGAGAGTACATAGTGTTTTGTTTATTATATGAGTTGTAGACAAAATAGAATAAACGTTCTACATGGCTATTATTGCCATTATCGATAAGTACGAAATTGAAAATAATTGATTGAAAATAAAACGGACTTGATTATTCGAAATTGCCAATAATCAATCAGAGAGTGACGGAAAATAACCCTTCAATTTAACTACAGCAGGAGAAAATTTTGTTCATTATCTATATTTTCCGAAGTCGTTTTCAAGAATACTTCAAGGTAAAGAATTAATTTTATTTTCTACTTGCATTATGATGAACAATAAATACATAATTATGAATCGATCAATAATCATTTTATGAATTTGAAAATGATAATTATAACCTCAAAGAAATGCTCACAAACGAGTCTACGTATCATAATCGATCGGTAATAATTGAATAAGATCAGTGGATAATGAAAAATACACGACTGAATTGAGAATTGTAATTTCAGAAAATGAATTTCTCCAGAACATGATGACTTCACATTGTTAATGGAAATATGCAATACTTGGAACATTGTACTGTAAGTAACGAGCATAAATTCTGAATTTATAACTGACAACTTCCAATATATGATTTGTTTATAAATTAATATTTTCATTTCTATTTCAGGATTGATAAATTTCAACCGTTGGAGGACTGATAAAATACTGATAGTGGGGAATCAACATATGATATCATATATTGATTATTGTACATGAATCGATCGCATTTATCGAATGTGGATTGAAAATCATAATTGCTGACTGAATTAAATAAAGTTTGCTAATAATGTAAAATTTGTTTATAGGAAAATCATAGACCCTCGATTTCAGATAATTCGATACAAAACCATTCTGTAAATAAACTGAAATTGAAAACCGGCTTACTTCGATATAGATCCATGAAAATTCGAAAAAATACCAAATATCTGTTCAGAAATTGAAGATTGTTGATTAAACATATTGGTTGATTAAAGATTAAGAACATATGAACTTGCAAATCATCTCAATTATATATGTTGTGACGAGGCATATTTATTTATTTTTCCATTATTTTTACACACATTTTTTCCCAACTACACACTGCCCCCTAATTAATAAAATCCCGCCACCGTTGGATACCCCTTCCCTCGAGTTTCCCCGCATCGCCCCTCTACCCTCGCCCCTGGAGTCTACGACGACAGTCGCCGAAGGAAGACAACAGTTCCAGCCATATTTGATCAACTGAAGGAGCCGTTGCCCCCCCAAAACCACCCATACATAGGCCTAGACAACCCACTGCCCTCGATAATCCCCATCGACACACCCCTGGATGGTGATCGTGGGCACAATCTAACCACTATGATTGGTCCCGATCATCCACGAAGATGACCAGAAGGATCTCGATTACTCGCGAATCCTCACAAACGAGACGAAGGAGAAGATGGGAGAGAAGAAGCGGCACACGTGTAACCGCTGTCCTGGACACTGCCACGTGCGCTCCAAGTTAGTTGACGAAACAGTGAGAATACCCCGAAGTCTCTGTACATTGGATTTCGTGTTGGAGAAAAAATGATTTTGGTGTCCGAGCTCATCCCGGCCCTAGATACTGTGCCCCTGGAGTCAGAGAGGAGGAACGAGGGCTCTGTCACAGGAATTGCTAAAGGACCTGGATTATTTTTGGACGTCCAGACCACACCTGTAAGTCGTGAGTACGAGTTATCCCCCTCATTTCCCCCTTTACCACAGAATAGTCTCCCATTTTATCCCCCCAACGGTGCGCCTCACTTGGTTATTTTTCCCCCAGTTAATTCAATTATCATATTTTCTTTACGTTGTTATTTTCCCCTCTACACCTAGAATCTCCCCCTTTGTTATCCATTAGAATCTCCCTTTAATACGTGTACAAAAGTTGCCTGGCCTTACCCTTGTCCCAGATCAGAGTTGAAAGGCATTTCAAGCGTCCAACGACGATCTTTATTGTAAATTGATAGAAATATAAATATTCAGTCAACTTTATCCCTCATTTGTCCTTCTGATTTGTTTGCCCTAATCCCCTTTTCAGGAAATTAGAATAATTAAATATTGAAAGGTCAAAATGTATACAAAAAAAAAATTATCAGTATCAAAATAAAAATTCATCAAACGATCAAGACAGATCACGTTTTTCACATTGTATTACTTATTGTAAATATTAGTTATGATTCAGAATTCGGATAATAATGCCAAGATATAAGATTCAAAGAACTCCAGAAGAAGAAGAATATATTAAAAGACAAAGGCGTGAACGAAATAGGATACAACAACGACAACATCGTCAAAGAGTTCGTAATAATATTTACACAAATAAGAATCGATATCGGTCGGAAATTAACGTCTATCGACAAGTGATGTAGGTTCCAATTCAAGCAAATGAAGTATTGTCTGACTGTTCACGACCTAATTTTTCTCAGATTTTTGAATTCTCAAGAAGCCATCTCCTTTGTAATGAATCAGACGACAATGAATATTACATTGGATCGATGAATACCCTATGTTCCCATTATAGTGCTAAACAGTTTGCAGCTGAACGCGTCGCGAATAAGAAAAATTCATTTTACAGTTGTTGCAGTCACGGGGAATTAGACTTGGATCCTCTACCTGATCCGCTAGACATTCTAAAAAGCTTATTTGATGGGACTCATGAAGAATCAAGACACTTCATCCAACGCATACGTTGTTATAATAATTCTTTCGCATTTGCTTCTTTCAATGCAAATTTGATCAATTTCAATGACAGACGTCCTGGCCCATACTGTTTCAAAATCAATGGTCAGATTTATTATCAAATTAATACTTCTCTGTATCCTTCGTCTAATAAAAGTCCTTCTTACGGACAACTCTTCATAATCGATCAAGCTGAATCAACACAAGTTCGATGCAATCAAATGTCTTCACTCAACGAACAAGTTGTTGAAGCAATCGACTCTGCTCTTCGTGCATGTAATTCATTCGTTGAATCATATCGTATGATGCACGAAGAATCGCAACAAGCCAAGTTGAACTGTGCATCTGATACTGAGCCAGAGATGCAGTTGATATTCTCTTTGAAACCAGGAATGGATCAACGACGATACAATTTGCAAACAGTCAAGGACGTTGCTGCAATTTTCACCACCACTGCAGATGGAACAATACCAGAATCGTACGTTTCGATTCGGGATAAGAAAACTAAGGAATTTAGTTATGTTAGCACAATGGATCGTAACGTTGAGCCATGGATTTATCCATTGTTTTACCGACACGGTACAACAGGTTGGCATGATAAGATACCTTGCGTCTCTAAAAAGGGACGAGTTACACGTGCTACATATATCAGACACAGAATGGCAATTCGAGATGATAACTACTTTCTTAAAGCAGGAAGACTGTTTCAACAATAGATATTTGACAGTTATGTGAAGATTGAGAAAGATCGCTTGACTTTCACTAGATCGAATCAGAAGCAACTTCGTGCTGATACGTATTAGGGACTTATTGATCATTTACAGCGAAGAGCTGAGAACCAAAACATTCACGTTGGAAAAATGGTAATACTTCCTTCATCTTTCTCTGGATCACTACGCAATATGATACAACACTATCAAGATGCCATGGCCATTGTTGGACAATTTGGGAAACCAGATTTATTCATAACCATAACATGCAACCCTAACTAGCGTGAAATAATAGAGAATCTAGAACCCGGTCAAACACCATCTGATGGTCCAGATATCGCAGCACGCGTTTTTAATATCAAAAAGAAAGAATTGATAAAAAATACGATTATTAAGAATCAACTTTTCGGTGAAGTTTTAGCACATGTTTATGTAGGAGAATATTAAAAGCGTGGTTTGCCACATGTCCATTTGCTGTTAACTTTGAAGAACAATCATAAAATAACAACCGCAAATGTCGTTGATAAATATATTTCTGCTGAAATCCTGAATCCACATGAAGATCCAATACTCTATGATATTGTAATGAAAAATATGATTGCAACTGGTGCAAAAATGACAAAGGTAAATGTACCAAACATTTTCCAAAAGCATTTCAGGAAGAAACAACATTAGATGAAAATGGATATCCAACATATCGTCGTAGAAATACACGTGTTTATGAAAGAGCAAATGGAGGAACAACTGATAATCAGTTTGTAGTTCCTTATAACCCAACATTACTCAAATTATTTAATTGTCATATAAATGTAGAAGTTGTATCGAGCATTAAATCTGTGAAATATTTGTACAAATACGTATACAAAGGGCATGATGCCGCATCTGTACAAATCAGTGAGTCTGGGAATGAAACAAATGTCATAAATCACGATGAAATAAATTTTTTTATAGAAACTCGATACGTAAGTCCTGTAGAAGCGTGTGACCGTATACTTGAACATGTCTTACAAGAAAAAAGTCACAGCGTCATGCGATTGCCAGTCCATTTACCTAACGAGCAAAATATTACAGTGAACAATATTGATGATGATGAGGCTGTTAGAACTGCACTGGAAAAGAGAAGTATGTTAATTGAATATTTTCAATTGAATCAACGCGATCCTGAAGCACGTAAATATACCTATTCTGAAATTCCAGGTCACTATGTTTTCAAAAAAGTAGCAGGATCAAATTCATCAACCTGGATGAAACGAAAAGCTCAATTCAATGTTATTGGACGGATGTACTCTGTGCCACCAAGTCGAATAGAACTTTTTCGTCTACGATTATTACTCAGAATTGAATGCGCGACGAGTTTAGAAGAGCTCAAAACAGTTGATGGCCAAGTATACGCAACTTATCATGAAGCATGCTTGGCGTTAGGACTCATTGCAGATGGTTCAGAATGGGAACATGCAATGAATGAAGGCGAAGTGTGGATGATGCCTCGACAACTTCGGCATTTATTCTCACTTATTCTCATTTACTGTGATCCCAACAATCCAGAAATCCTTTGGAAAAAATTCAAAAATCCTGTGTCACAAGATTTCCAACGAAATTTCACTTTAGATGAAGCAGAAAAAAGGGCATATGTACAAATAAATAATCTCCTTTGTTATGAAGGGTCTAGCCTGAGTCAATTTCCGATAATGCCTCCAATGGAAGAAGTTAATGAAAATGTAGAAATTCTAGCGGAGAATAAATCGAGATACGCGGCAGCGTATCGCCCAAGAAAAGTTTTGACTCCGATTGTACAAAACATCAGGCCGATCGCTGCCGTGTATCTATACACGAAGCAACTACCCCCTCCACTACCTCCGAATCATATCCATTATATAAAATACAAACGTGACGAGCTACATGAAAAATACTCTTAGTTACATTATATAAATTGGCCACAAGCTTCTCATTGATGTAACTATTTTTTTGTTCGAAGCAATATTTCAAAAAATACGCGCATAGCAACGGGTTCATATGCACATTCTCGCATTTCACATCAACTCCTGTCATTTTTTTGTTACGGAGTTGGTAGCAGTGCAATACAACCATTCGCACCAAGGAGGAAAGCCCGGGAATTTACAAATTCAATATGGTGCACGAATGATGAATTTCACAGATATTTTTCATTCGAGTTTCGTGCACAAATGAATTCTCGAAGAAGCAAATTCAGTCGGAAAATCTTGAATAAATAATTAAAAGTCGGTGCAAATAACGACTGTGGAATAGAACTATTTGTTTTACTTCGATTGTTAATTGGAAAGATGATTTATCGTGTGAAAAATAAATGAGCCGAATTGAATTGAAAATGAAAAAATTTACAGGATATAAAAACGATTCCTTGTTTATTTTGAAAAAAATAATGAAATCTCCCTAAAAAAACAAAAACACATGTTTTTGTAAAAAAACTGCGCCAAGAAAAAGTTTTGTTTGGTTCTTACTGGAAAGTAGAAATTTTTGAAAAATACAAAGGAAT